TCCCCCATCGTGGAACAGCTTCGTTGGCACAGGTATCCACGATGGGCCTATGCCCCCTGCGTGAACCCTTGGAAACAGGGGTTGACACACACACACACACACACCAGTGACACCTGTCAACATATCTATCATCCCAGTCGACCTGCACCACCAGCCTTCCCCTTTTCAATCCCCTCTCAGAAAAGCTCAGCTTGAAGAAAACAGCTCATATAAAATAAGAGACCAAATTCAACACCCCAAAGAACACCTTACAATGAATCTTCAAGCGTGCAAACCTGCTACCAGGACATCTCCAACCCACATCAACTGACAGTCCCTCCCTTTCCTTCACATTGGGCTCCAGCCATACGTCTGAGCGTCAGGTTCCAGATCATGTGAGGGCATCAGCTCCACCAAGTGGAGCCTCAAAAAGCATGGGCGGCCCGACCTCTTGGAGGGCATAGTGCGTTCGATTTGTGTGGTTTGCTCACCTCAACGCTTGTAGAATCTTGTACTTATACTTTTGAGATATCTTTATGGTTTCTCCTTGCCACACAAGTGACTCCTCACTGATTGAAAATTCGAACATTCTGAGACACACCCTGGACCTAAGCTCCAAACCCTCTGGCCCATTGTTTCCCGGAGACGCACGCTAAAATGGCCGCTGCGTAGGTTTCCTGACATCGGGGGATGATGGTGGATGCATGGGAGAGATTTGGAGAGATCGAAGAATTAGGTGTTTTCGAGCATGGACCGTCCTCAAGAGGGGGAAAGCTGATGTCTTAAAGGTAAACCATCTCTGGAACGCTGATAGCCGGTTTCTTCTCAACATCGGACCATTCATTCTCAACCATGATGATTTACCCATCGACGTCCTGGTTCTCTACCTATTGACATCCACTGACTGAATGACCTCCCAAAAGTCCCTGCACTTTGCTGTGCTCGTGAAGTGATTCAATGGCCCGTCGATCCTTGTATTTTGAGCCTCCCAAAGGTTTTAACATCACCAAATAATAAGACACCTCAATCAACGTCTCCCCGGTCTCCCCTAAATCAGCAATTCTGGAACCTCCAAACCTTCTGACATCCCTATCTGGGAGCCAAACCACATCAGGATCCACTGCGAGTTCCTGTGGCCAAGTAGACCAGGCAGGGACATGTGACATTTGCACATTAAAAATGCACACCACGTCTACCGGTACTACCGGCCAAGTGCACTCGCAAGACGCGCAAACAATAACAAGAATTGATTGTGATTTGTGTCCTTTAATGATTTCATGCTAGTGTTTAGTCATCAAACGAGCAGTGCCAAAGGTCTCCCCATTTGGAAGTACACCAGTAGTTGGGCACGAGTGTAGTTTTAGTTTGTAGCCGTCCCAAAGTTCCCCTTAACACCCTCGAAACCGGCAAAGTTCTTGCCTTCATCGACTCCAACAAACCAACGGCCACTTTCCACTTGCGACTCCTCTCCTCAGATGAAATACGCACTGTGATTTAAACATGCCTTATTCTGGCTGCGCCTTTGTGCTTCAAGAAAGCGTGTACAGTCAATCGGCAGTTATCCTGCACCACAAAACATGAGCAAGCAAGCTTGGAATTCCAGCGTTGGCACACTGAGGCCGTATGAGGCCGTCACCCGCTATTTCCTTTTGAATGAATCACACTCCATGAACGTAGGTGCTGTCTTGATTGAACTTGCAAATTTGCTTCGGCTTCCGCCACTGATCTGAGCGGGACATCGTCCATAAGTCAAGAACCGCTGAGACCAAAGGGACAGCTGAGGCTTCTGGGGCATACAATATCTTCGCCTTCTCTGCTGCATTGAACACAAAAAGCCGCACAAACTCCGCCCTACATTCTTGGAAAATCCCACGTCCACCCTGTGACTCTTTTAGTTTTGGCAACCGCACTTCTATGGCCAACCTGGCCAACCAAACGGCTGCGCCGCAGTTGCTTGGGTGTCCCCACCGTTGCGCTGATGGCTGAATTGAAGGATATGGTATCAGGCCTCGTGGAATTGGTCAGGTTTGCAGCCCCAGACCACGGAGACAAAGTTCACAAAGGGAAACAATGGTGAGCAAACTGGAGGAAACTCCTTAAACAAAGAAATCCCGAAGTGCGCAGTACAGGCGTTTTCTCAATCAACAAGGATGCCTCGAAATGTTGACCCTGTCACCAGCACAATACCTTCAACCAAACTCCTGAAGGTAGCCTAAGTGCCCTGACAGCCTGACAGTCAACTCTCAACTTCTCTCAGCACTACTGTAGTGATTCTATCTTCTGAAGTTTCCGTGTTGAAAACGCTCTTTTGGTTTGTGCAAACTTTTGGAGGCTGTGGCAGGAAATCCTTGAATGCCAACCACCCGCATTTGAAGCCCTGTGAAAACGTTCGTTTCCAGAAACGGCCCTCAAACAACGCCTTTCAAGGATATTAATTATCACTGCATGATATCTCTGCCTACATATTTGAACAGGTTGCAAATAATCACTCGTTGTTCATCGTTTTTCCAGGATTTCAGCGAGCAGCAAGCTCATTTGCTGTTGTGTCCGACTATATACAATTATATAATATATATATATATTAGCTAAGGCAGCTAAGGGCCTGGCAAAATAGTTTCGTCTACCATCTCCTGGGCTAAGGAAGCTCAGGGGCCACCCAAGAAGCTCTGCTTTGGGATGATTGGGTTCCTGTTCTCGTTTGGATACCGTTGTCGCGCGATGTTCAAGCCCGTATCATCACATTGATTGCGCTACACCTGTCAATGGCATACAGGTTTTTTGGTGAACTCTGCAGCGAAAGAAAGTCTGCGTGCATATTGTACTGCTGCAAAGGAAACACTCCATCAAAGGGCGCAAGTAGGCGAAGCACTGTTTGAGAGTTGACCATTACCGCACAGTGTTCAGCCTTGGGCTTGTTTATCGCTCTGCAGAGGAAAGGGCTCGTCTATGCACACAAAACTTACTGTAAACTTTATTGCAACTCAGCACAGTGTGATTCTGTCTCTCTCACATCTCTCCCATGTTGCTCAATTCTCTGAAATCAGAATATTACAAGGTTCATGGTGAAGGTCCTGCAGTCCCTGCATCTCTAATTTGCCTGCAATACCGACAAATTCAACTACTGTAGGCCCGACTGTAGACATATTCTCTGTGTAAGTCCATCCGTTTTTCGGTGTTCGAATCTCCTGTAGAAAGTTCACTGCCATCTGCCACTTCTTGGCAGCTTCAGCCACACTGATGGCCGAGCTGTAACCAATCACCTGACCCCCAACAGCGGGCCGCCGGTCGCAGCGAACAGTGCTTCATGGCTCGCTGCTCAACGCCCAACGAGCAAAGCAATACGAGTCAAACGTATGTCCAACGTATGTTTAACGATGTTTAACGTTGAGACGTTGACGTTGATGGTGCGTGGTCTCTGCAAGTCCCCTGGCCTCCCCAGAAGTAGAAAGTGGACTACTGAGCTTGGAACTCTGTCTCGGCCCATCATTTTTTTGTTGAGGGGTCGCGTAATTAGTCTCCTTTTGGCGGTTGCCTTCAAACACCTCCGCGTGATAAAATACACAAATGGCAAGTCTTGCGGGAAGATGCTTTTCCAAGCCCTCTATGCATGTGGTTTTAAACACCAAGGACCAGGCTGAGGTTGCCTTTGCCTCTTTCATCGATGTGAAAACCAATAGCCTCGGAACATCAATCAAATCAAGACCTGACTGAGGTGTCAGTCAACGTTGCTGGCTTTCCAAACATCAACAGCAACTTCACAGTGCCCTTAGATGCCCTTAGGCTCTGCACCCCTTCTGCCACTTGCTGCTCTTCTGCATGGCCGTCATCAGCGCTCCATAACTCTTGGCCCTCATCTCCAAAGAGACCTGGGACTGTATTATTTTAAGCCATATGGCTATGTATTTATCACTCTTTGTCGATTCCATTCGATTCCAATAGCGATGGCCTCCAACCTAATAGCGACATTTTAAGCTATATTCTAAATAATGTCTTTTGTGGCTAAGCAGCTCGGGCAGACTGGCCAAACCATCCCCCTTCTTCTCCCAGGTCGTCAAGCAGCTAAAAGCGACAAACTGAAGAAGAGTGTTTGGCCAAACATTAAGAAAGATATAGAAAGTGTGTGGTATCTGACTGTGTTGCCTTGTTGTAGTGTTTTGACACGAGCAAGTTCTGTCATGTACGTGGTGGTAGGCTAGGTGAGGTGGACCATTAGAGTATGCATGATCTTCTGTATGCTTTGCCTTCCAGGTGGAGAAACTTTAGGTTCTGAATTGTGCTGGTCACTTTTGCCGGATTTGTCGTTTGGTGACATGCCCTGTTTTGGAACTAGTTAAACAAGGTTCAACAGGTGAAGCACCGGAAATGTTGTCTTAGCATCCAAATATGCCATGGGAGGACTACATTTATCAGCATGTGTTTAAAACATCAAACAGTTGACGTCATCAAGTGTTGATATTCATTCATTCTGAGTGTCAATCCTTTCTTGCGTGGAAAAGCTACATGAGAGCTGGCTGGATAATGTGTTTACTGATCATGAGCTTGGGGTGGCGGGAGACCTCCGATTGGTGACCCTTCGAAAATCAACACCAAATTGGACCACTCCTGCTATTACAAGCCGAGAGTGTTGTGCGCAGATAGGCAATTCAATCATATGCATAGCATAGATTGGCACATCTATTGGTGCGATCAAGTATGCCAATACTATTTTGGATCTTAGTATCCAGATTAGGATCTCGCCACATCCCCCACCTCCTTCAACTCCTCGAAGAGGTTGATTGCTTCTCTCCATAGACCGCCTGCGTCTCTTGAGGTCCAACAGTCCAACCCTGAAAATTGTGGGCTCTGGCTTTGCAGCTGAAACAAATGCCCACCATGACACACCCACCATGGCTCACATAAATCATCCTATTTCATCATCCCGTAGAACCTATCAATTATGAAATGCATCAAAAACAATACATCTTGCTCTGAGTTGCTTCTGTTGACTCACTACACCGTTCCAAAGTGCTTGAAGAGAGCCCTTTTTATGCCCTTTTGGCGATTGCTAGTGATTGGCTGCCACTAAACTAACGTTTGGTTCATCTGGACTCATCGGCCTCATCGATGAACGTACATCACGTGCCTCTGAGTGGTCACGTGTCCCGGAGGTCCTGCGACATAAGCGGGTGAGGAGGATCTTCCACGCGCGTGCTGTGCCGCCGCGGCCGCCATGTTCGCCGTCTGCGCGGTGTAGCCCTGAGGGCCTGGTGGTGTGAGCTGCTGTGGCCGCTCCATGCGAGTGCTCACAGTAGGTGGCGGAGGCTGCACACAAGGCTTTGTAGTGTGGATCGTACTGCGCATGTTGGGAGTAAAGGTGAAGCTCTTAGGGTCCAAGGTGGAACCTCCAAACGGACGTTGGACGTACGGACCACCCACCATAGGTCTGGACATCATTTGTGATGGCCATTGTGGCCGTCGTGGATCGCTTTGACTCTGGCTTCGCACATTGAAAATGTGTGTCTTCTCTGCGAAGGAGAGCAAGCTCGGGTCGTCTCTGGTTTCATGAACTTCGGCGACCAGGCACGGTCCCGAAGAGACCTGTTGCCGAGGCGACGACCGCAAGTTGTAACCCAGGCTTCCCGAAGTGCCCAGTTGCTTTGTTGGGTTGCGTTCACCAACAAAGGGTTGAGAGTTTGCTCGAGGTTTGCTACCATTTTGAGTTGGCACTCGGTCTGGCACCTTCTCATTCCTCCTGCGAGGTGAGATACCATCACGGATGGCCAGGGCATCGACATCCTCCTTCGAGTCCACATGTTGCACATAAACGGTTTGACGTGGCTTCCATGGCTGAACTGGCTTCACTGTAACACCATTGGAGGGTGTCTGGAATTGCATGTGATTAAGAGTGGCCCCACTCTTACTATGACTTTTTGAGTGTCCCTGCAAGAAATCGTGTGCTTGCACTTCTTTGCTCTCTCCCCATGTGAATGTGTCAGACTTCACATAATTGTGGCTCTTGACAAACCTGGCCACTTCGAAGCTTTCTGGCACTTGGAGCTCCAACTCCTGGCAGAAGCTCCTGAAATCCCGTCGTGTCAGCCACAAGCGACCGAAATCCAAGCTCTTCCAGAAGGTCAACTCCAAGGAGAAGACCTGCGAAGGAGACAAAACGGGAAACATGGATTGTTCTGACATGGAACTGCCCTTCACCGAGCTGTCGATGAGGTACTTGTCTGTCACCAAAAGGGCCGCAAGAAAGAGCGGCCTCCAACAAGCCGCGTCCATTCGAAGCCCAGTCTTCTCACGAAAGCGTCTCAGAAAAATCAAACAGCAAATGAGTTCAGACACCTCGAAGAAGCCGTTCTCGAACAAGCCCAGAACAAAGTTGGCGATCTCCAAAGGATTTGTGTCTCCCAGCGATCGCCGCCATCCACGCAGATCTGTGCGGCAATTCGAGATGTGGTATTGCTCCTCTGTGTAGAGTTGTCTCAGTTCCATGGCATGTGGAGGCATATCATCGCTGGAGGTGATCTCCTGGTGAATGAAAGAGATGCAGCGCACAAGCAAGGATAACTTCTTCTTGCTGAAGAATGAGCCTGGCGCCAGCTCGTCATCATCACTGTACTCTGCAGCTGCTGGTTTCTCGCTCTTTTTCTTGGTAGATCCACTGGAACCTCCAACGTTGTAGTGAACAGGCAGTTTCGAAAAGGGTCCTCCAGATGGAGTAACTTTGGTTTGTGGAAGTTGGTGGCTCGAGTGTTGCTGCCTCACTTGTGTCTGAACGGGTGCACCACCCGATGGGCTCTGTGGACCCTGGGGTGGCATAGAATGATGAGGTCGCCGGTAGAGGCCGTGCTGGAGCACATAGTCCTGAGGAGGCGGCCGATTGCGGGTGGTCTGCGCGGCAGGTGCGACCCCTTGTGGCCGCCCGCCCGCCACCACCGCAGAGTGTGAAGTCATCACCACGCTGTTTCCTCTCACGCCATCAGCGGCCACTCTTGTCCCTGGACTCAAACTGTGATGTCCTCGGCCGTGGCTCGGAGCTGTACCCTGAAGCTGGTGAGCCACGCGACTGGCAGCTGGTGCACTTGGGGCGGTAGCACGGCCTGGCATCTGCACCATCCTGGGCATCTGTCCCCATGCTGCCCAGCCAGGTGCAGGCCCAGCTGCAAGCATCGTCCACAGGTCAATGGATCATGGCCACTAGTGTCCTTCGCTCTTGAGCCAAGGTCAGTGAATGGCTTGCTCAAGTTCCGCAATCGCTCCTATCAGCCTGGCTTCTTTCACAAGAATCAATAAAAACAAAAAAAGTAGACCAAGTAGCGTTCCAAACTCAGTCGCAGCAACACCACAAGTCAAACTTCTGCCAATTACCGTTTGGAAGCTCCATTGCTGGATCAAAACTGACCTTCGAGGACATGTCAGACATGGACCCTATTGCATGAGGTCCAGATCTTTCTTGCCATATCAAGGAGCCATAAATGCTCAATCTTGAAAAACCACTCTGCGCTCAACAAGGACGCTACTAGGAGCAAAGGGCATCGCTACTAGGAGCAAGGACGCTACTAGTATCTTCACCGTTTGGCGCCACATCATTTCCTGCTTCGCACCTTCGCCACAGGACTGGATGGCCGCGTTGTAAATGATCGAGTCCATGGACTCTCGAGAAGCCCTGGACTCAGGAGACTCACCACGATAGATGTAAAAAGAGAGGAACATTGTAAGGTGTTTGGCCGCTTGGCACCCCTATAGGGTTCCTTTAAAAGGGGCCCTGGTTTGAGGGACCCAATCACCTTCCTAGTTTGCTTTCTCTTTTTCATCTGAATATCTGAATATCAATGAACTGGCGATGACGCCCCTCTGGTCCTACCATGGTCAAGGGGGTGGGTGCTGACCATGGTCAGCAAGATAGTGAACCAAGTGAATTTGAAGCTAGCAAACCAGGTAAGTTTCCCTAAAAATCTAGAAACCAATTACTAAGGCGGCGGGGGGAGCTTCCTTGAAGAAGCGTGAACTATCCTGGGTCCATCCTAATAGCTACTTGCAGGTATATAGTAGCTGCCTCTCCCTGCTAGCTACCGACCTCCCCCTCAAAAAATGCACACAAAAAACACCAACAGTATGTATATGATATGAAATGATAACATACAATAAAAAATAATGATATGATCACTACCCTTTCCTGAGGGGGGATGTCGAAAATTGTAAGTTACATTTTCCTATGCGGAAGGCCTCAAAAAATGTAATTACATTAACTTTGAGGTGGCCTCAAAAAAGGTACTTACATTTTTGAGGCCTCATGGGTGATTTCCCGGGGAATGACCGCAAAAGTGTAAGTTACATTTTTGAGGCACGGTGGCGCGCTTACATTTTTGGACCCCCCCCATCCCCCCCTGAATCTTGCTGTCAGACACACTCATTTCCGTTAGTCCACCAAAATGGGTGAAGCATTGGGGCTTCAAAACGATAACAACGATAACAAAAATACACGAAAAAGTCCTCGGGAAGACCATGCCACACACGTACAAATTCCAAGTTTTAAAAAGTGCTCTCAAAACTCTTCAAACATCAAGGGAAGACAGGAACTGAAGGAATATGACCAGGAAACTATCTAAATATTAGAAATTAACTAGCTACTTTTTCTCCTCTCCCCCTGTCTCTGCGTCAATTCCCTTAACGGGGAGGGAACGGTGCCCCGGGAGCGGTCTGTCAGAGATAGCCTTTCGGCTGTTGAACTTTGGAAGCTGTTTGATCCCCTGGTCTCTTGCCCCCAGTTTGTGCTTCGTGGCGTCGGACGTGTGTGATGTTCAGTATGCTAAAATGTAAGTAACTCAGGGGGACACCCCAGTTCCTTGTAAATTCTAGAAAGTTGGGCACATTGCAAAAATGTAAGTTGCAATTTGCGAGGTCAAACTTTCTCACATAACCCATGTATTCCTTGTAAAATCTGCGGGTTTGGACGCGTGGACTTATTGTAAGTTACATTTTTTGACGTCTGCAAATATCACCTTTCGTGATTACAAAAGTTGACTTGCAGATCTCATACTTGCCACAGTCCCACATATCCCCCACACATCCCTTCAATCTGCCAACGCACCCTAGGGGGGGGGTGTAAAAAAATGTAAGTTCAGGCCTCCAGGTCGCAAGTTACATTTTCCAGACCCCCCCCCTTCTATCTGCCGACCCCCCCTACGGGGGGGGTGGTAAAATGTAAGTAAGCACGTCCCAGGCAACAAGTTACATTTTTTTGCCGCTTCGATGGTGCCTGGGAGGGGTAACTTACATTTTTTGACCCCCTAGAAGGGTACCCTAAAATGTAACTTACTTTCTTGACGTGCAAAACATTCCAAAACACCAATCATGTCCAATCAGCACGGCCTTACGTTGTGGAAGAGTTCCATGGCCACCTCAAAGATGGAAGGTGATGCTCTATACCAGGAGTGCTCCAGGAATGTGTTGGGCTGCTGTGCGCGGGAGTGACCAGTGACCAGTCAAGCAGGAGTTCGTTCATGTGTCCCTTCGGAGCTTCCGAGGAATTCATTTGAAGATGATATGTCGGTGGGTTAAATAGTGCACTCCTGAGACTTCTTCCATTGGTTCACTGTGATTTTATTTTCGTGGATTCATGGATCAATGAGATTCGATGAGTACAAGTGTAGAACCCGGATAAAGGGTGCACAGAACAGTCACGTCTATTTAGTGCAAATACATTGAATTTCACTGGGCTGATCTGGGCTGCATGAGAAACCTAGGCATCTGGGACGCGCCGGGCCTCCCATTCTTTCAGCTGGCAGCAGGCGGAGATTGCAATACCTTGGCTTCTGGCTTACCAGCAAGACTCCCGAGACTCTACCAAACACAGCAAACACAGCTGTTGCACCCAGTTGCTCGTTGGAATGGTACCAGGATTGAGGTCCTGAATGAAGATTAAAGAAGGGAGGATGCGGCATATTGTGGAATACGGAAAGCTCGAGATGATGTGGATTGTTGTTTTCACGACTATTGAACTATAGACTATACAGTACGTTGTTCAGCCTAGTTTCAATACAAAAGGTTTCTCAAAAAAGCACGGGTGCCTTTAGCAGACTTCATGCTCTTCATGCCAAGCTAGGTTGGATTCTGAACCTAAAGCCTTTTCACTAAAGCACCCGCAAGTGATTGAAACCACAAGAAGGGTCGCATGTGGTCGCATCTTGCCGTGTCCTTCTGGTGCATCTCATCCAGGAGGCCCAAAGCGTGGCGCCAAAGCTTGGCATGGGCACAGGCGTGGATCTCGGCATGACAGGCATGGCGGTTTCCGTTTGAGGGAGATCAGACACAGATCCCAACTATTCTGTTGAGTGACTTATAGACATAGAATGACATAGATGTAAAATGCAAAACCCCTGTACGTGGAAAAGGACTTGAATGCCTCTTTGATTTCTTCTTTTTCGAGGGCATTAGATCGCTAAAGGTTAGGAGCTTGGTGCTGTGCAATCTTGATTCTTTGCCAAAGTTGCTGGTTAGGTTAGTATAGGTTAGTACTTTTGCTTTCACATCCTGTTGACAAGTCCATCGGAGAAAACGTCTTGGACTTCGGCAGCAGTTGTGAAGGCCATCGTGTCGACCTTGAGCTCTGCCTTGAGAAAGACGGCAAATTCGATTTGAGAAACGATTGGCCAAGGGATCAGCTTGAAACGCGACGGTCAATTTGCAGCTATCGCGCTTTTAATATTCTTTTAATGCAGTGGCAAAAGCATACGATAACTAATGAAAAGTAGGATATAAACAGGATAACAGGATTGAACATAGCGGAACCTGGAACAAGGAGAATGGCCCTTATCTCCGAATTCTTGAGTTGGCCAAGACTTGACGGAACATGATCCAAAGTGAGCTGGCAATTGAACCGCAAAACAGTAATCAATTGCCATGTGCATCCACCTGAAGCCGATGGTCCGCTTTCACACCCAACCTCTCCGAACTGGTGCCAGAGGTCCAAAGCACGCCTTGGCACAGAGTCCCTAAAAAAGGAAGTTGGGATCAATTGTGTATAATATATGAGCGGCGGACAAACTGTTTGGTGTCCCCAATGCCAAGAGTATGTTAGGTTGGCCCCTATCGGTGTCCAGTGTTTTTGGAGACCAAGCAATATGCTACTTTCAAACAAGAATGGGTATCAGTATACGGTTGGCCCCTTCAGAAATACTTAAGGCCGCTCATGACTAAAGTACATATTTTGTCGGATGCTCATATGTGTATATACTATCTACTAGCAATGGCCTCCAACCTACTAGCGATGGTCTCCAACCTAGAAGCGATGTCCTCCAACCTACGAGCGACTACGTGCAAGTCTAAATGTTCACATGTCGTTTCCCAATCAATCGGGAAAAAGCTGTTCTTGGAAAGCTTTCTTGTGTTGTGATGGGTCAATGGGTCGTCTCGCGAGGCTTGAGTGCTTTCTTGCTCTCATGTGTGTCTGTATGTGTTTTACTTTTCCACCACACAACTTTGGCAAGCAAAGGTTCTTTTGGAGAGCTTGTTGAGTGATGGTGCCAAGACCAAATGGGTGCTGTTTCTTTGGCCTGATATAGAGTCTCTTCTGAAAGAAACAAAACAAACAATTACACCTATTCTTGGGAAGGTCTCTCTGGCTCCAAGTTTGCACGTCCTTGTTTTCTCCATGCGCATCATACACTAGTAGCGCACTCAGTCAATAGAAACAAAACATCTGCATAACAAAAATGCAGCCATCCATCCTAGGTTGGTATGTGTGTGTGTGAATTTCTGAATCCGTGCATGTCGACTAATGGGCTAAGCGGCTAAGGCTCATGTTTGTCTGAAAGACGTTTCAACATTTATACAGCGCCTTTGTGAACATTCAACAGCTACTTTCAGACATCACTGGTGATGACTTTCACTGGGCACTGGGTCTCCTCGACTCCCATTGGTCCTGTCCGGTCATGGTCTTCATCACCAAGGACACAGTCTTCGCCTCATGGCAGAAGGCATGGCGTACAAGACACAGACACAGAGCGGAAGAGATTCCACGATGTCACTCAAATCGTCACGGTTTGGGTGGATGAAAGCAAAGGCTGCGAGCTGCTGCCCGGCGCATGGGCCAACTCAACATGCCGGCACCACGTTAGGCTCCAGTTGATCCTCGTGTGCGCGCTGAAGCAAGTCCAGCGCCTCAGCATTCGGCACAGGATCCGTTTGAAGCCTCAAAAGCGCTTTCATGTTCGTACCAATTGAAGTCTCAACATGGATTTGCCTTGAGGGACCCAGCCTCTTGCCATTCCTGTGAAGAACAGCACGAGCCTGAAAGAGAGAAAGCGGTTTGAAGTGTTGCTCACTAGCTGTACCTTACCTACTAGGACATGCTTCAACAACGGCCCGGAAAGGCTTCAGATTTGCTCCGTCAGATGGCCCAAGCTGTCACTGTTGACCTCCCAGGACTGTGCCTATGGCAATGCCGTAGCTCTGCAAATCCTCGGCTGTCGGCCGCGAAAATCACGGCGACAATACATCGATGCCCTTTCGGTCATATATAGCGCCCTCTTGTTACTAGTAAGGCCTGGTAATCGTGTCTGGTAATCGAGT